GATAGGAAGAACCCTGGGAAGCGGTTGACTAATAGAGAGTAAGAGTCAGGTAAGCTCACCAGGGATGGCTAGTAAGGACGCTCAGCCCACTTAACCCAAGGGTGGAGAACACTGGAGATGTGGGCAGGGCAGCAAGGTGTGGAAAGATAGCCCTTTCACTCACTGAGTCCATGTCCAGAATGAATACTAGTGTTACTGCATCAGAGGTACACAGGTTTCCCTATGTGGGATGCATATTCTTTGGGGGGTGGGGAGAATGAGTCCTCAGGTAACTTGTGCATGGGCTGGTATCAGGGAAGAAGCAGGAGGCACTTTTGTTATCTCCAGAGATTGAGCTCTTGGGTCTAGACAGAGGGTGGGATAGCAGAAGTTCAGAATGGAGACCTAGGGATTAGATGTTAAAGAGGAAGTCAGAAATATGATTTATAGCAGAGACAAAGGATTTATAAAAATATAAATTTGAGGCTCAGTTGTAGTCACCAAAATCTTTCCTCTTTGCCACTTCTGGATCTAAAAGTTTAGATGATTTAACTCTCCAATTGTTTCTGTACAATTCAGTGATAAACACTGCACTGCTAATTATTTTGCTTGGAGGTGAGTCCTTTAAAGAATGAACAAAGTGAGTGCCTATTCAAAACAATGTTTATACACCCCATGTTTAGGAAAGAGAACATGAAAAAAAACAAAAGAAAGATCTAGGACCTGGGAAATCTTCATTCTAATTTGATTTATGGCTTAAGTGGAAAATTCCAGAAGATACATCTAGTTTCAGGGACAACTGAATCCAGGTAGTCAAAATAAAATCATCATCTCCATCTCTTGGCTCCATTCTCTTGGTATTGGTGTCATCCTCAGACTTTTTGCATGTGGTATAGGCTGATAGCAAGCAGTTCCACACTGCTTACACACTGCTGGTTCATCCATCCCAGTGGAAAAATATTCCCTTCCCGCAGTAATTTCATCAAGAGTGCCAAGGTTGAGCTTCATTGGTCTGACATTATTACTACCCATTCATGAACCAGTAAGAGGGGTTCTGGGAAATGCAAAGCTTGGATTGGCCACATCTGATCATATGACAATACCTGAGGCAAAGGGTTGGGTCCTTTCCACCCATCTAGGTCACTGAGTGGGGGTGAGAGGTGGTGGGCAGAGTAGTCCTGCAATGGAACCCAAACTCTTTAACCCCCCACAAAGAAAATGAATACAAGGCTGGGAGAAACTACAACTACTTTCTAGGACTCTTTAATTAATGTTATCTATTGCTTTTATGAAACAATAGCAGGAAGGTGGAGTTGAAGTTCATTAAACTTTTGGAGAGGTAGGGCAGACTTTGTGGACTATAGTAAGGTCCCAGTAAATGTTTATGTAAAACAAAATTTACAAGGGAGTGAATGGGCACATACATTAAGGTGTAATCTTGTTCTGTGCAGAAAATAAAGGAGTCCGAAGGAATGAGGGCGCAATTTTATGGAGTCTAGGAAATGAGCCAGCAAACAGAGGATAGGGATAAATGGCACATTTCTGAAAGGAGTTCCTTAGAGACCAGGCTAAGGGCTGTTTAATTAACGTGTAAAGCTACTCTGGAGGAAAGCAGTGCAGAAGGAACTCTCCAAGGTTTGCTGATGACACAAAAGTCCTGAGGAGTGAGAGTGAGGATGGTGCTAAGCGCTCATGAGCCCAAGAAGGGGTGCAAAGAGGTGGCAGCTGAGCTATAACCAGGAGAAAGCAAAAAGGTAATGTTAGGGGTTAAATTCAAAATAATGCCCATGAAATGAGCAAAGTCAGATACTGTTTATGACCAAGGAAAACACCTCAGATGCTGGTGAAATACTGAGGATTATGAAAGTAGCCTGAGAACAAAAAAACCATAAAGAGTGATGTGTATACAAACAGGACATACGTGCAGTTCTGGTCCATTCATATTGGGCAGAGAAGAGGCCTAAGAAAGGGCAAATACAAATTTTGAAGGTGTGGTTAAATGGATACAGATGACAGGAACAGGGACTGTTACGTCTGAAAGGCAAAGATTAAGCAAGAACCATGATTGAAAGATGTAACACTGAGTGCAGACAAAATGCAAATTTCCTCATCAAAGGTGGAAATTCTGAGGTTGAAACTTGAGTGACATGAATTTTAATCAAAGGGAGGTCTGAGTCTCTGTTTCTCTGTGTGATGGAGAAAACAGTGCTTAAGTCACTACTGTGATGAGGACTGATTGAGCTCAGTTAGGTGAAAGTGTCTAACACTACTTAGGTGTAGGTGAACCTAAAGTGAACTGGAGTCCCCAGAGGATTCACGATGACATGGCTGCTGGTAGCATGTGGCATCTGGAGTCTGAAGACACGATTATGAACTCAGGTGCCAAACTCATCTTCATTTTCCCGATCCGTAAAAGGCAGTAATAATACCTCCATCACAGGGCCATGATAGCCATGAAATGGGATCCTATATTCATTCAACATACATATATTTAATCCCTATTACTTACCTGATACCAATTTAAATACTGGGTGGGGATAGAAACATGAATAAGGCAAAGTCCTGTCCTCATGGAGTTACTAATGGGAGAGAATAATAGTGGATGATTACAGACCTGAATGATGCTTACTGTGACAAGGGTGAGAGGGCCATAAGGCTTTGACAATGGAAATGCACCAAGCTAATGTCACTATTGTACTTTATATTCATTCCTACTGGCCAGTAGCTAAAAACAATGTACTATGTTACAATCCCGGAGGTCAGAAATCTGAGGTAGACTTTACAGACTAGACTCAAAGGCTTTATTCCCTCTGGAATATCTAGGGTATAACCTGTCCCTGGCTGTTCCCAGCTTCTAGTGCCTGCCTGCATTCCTTGGCTCCTGGGCCCATCACTCTGACTTTTGTCATAGTGACTTCTCTGACTTCTCTGACTTTGACTCTCTGCTCCCCTCCTCTGTGATTATGTTTGGACCGACCCAGATAATCCAGGCTAATCTCCCCACTTCAAACTCCATAATTTACTCACATCTCAAAGTCTCTTTTGCCATGTCAGGCAACATATTCATTTATGTAGAACTGTCTAGAAAGGTTGGGGTGAAAATGACAATATCACCCATGAAATCACTTGATGCAGTACCTGGTCCTCTGTGAGTGCCTACTTTGGGATGTGTCCTGAATTCACCCTTCTCTTTTACTCTGTCCTGCCATGTCTACAGTCTTCATCTGGTTTCTCAAAAATCTTACTATTCGCCCATCACACCACATGGGCACTAAGGGAGTGGTGAGGAGCAATTGCTTTGAAACTCAGTGAATGAGCTGGTGCTAACCACTGAGTCTGAGCAAATCTCCTGGTCGCCATTTCCTCCTCTGCACAGTGGAGATAAGAAGGTTTATTCAGCCTTGCTGTCCTGAGATTTAAGGGAGGTGAGAGTGGAAAGGACTTACCACAGGGTCAGCACAAAAATTAACAGTGCTGTTCTTCTCCAGAGATTGCTATCCTTTCAGCCTCCTCTTTCCCACATTGCTTCTTCAGCAATCACAACAGCCCATTTCCTGAGGCAAGTTTGGGATTTTTCTTTCTACCAGAGAGCATTGTTTATAAACATTTCCCTCTGCCTCCTACATTCTCAGTGTATTCTATACAATTCATCCATGGGGTCTCAGTTCTACTCTGCTTTGGGGTAATTTGTTCAAACTGTACTAATTTCTCAGTTATGACTAGGTGGGCCTCAATTTGGCCATGTGTTCCTTATGAAAGTGTGTTTTTCTGTGTGTATTCCCCATCCTCACCTTGCCTCAATTCCAGCGTTTGGAATGAAACCATAAAACCCGGATGGATTCAGGGACCTTTCAGCTCAAGGGTCTTGAACTGACAGAACTTAACAATGAAGTAGCCCGCCCTCGCGCACAACCTAGTGGGCTCCCTCTCCTTTTCCAAAAAGGGGAAACTGAGGGCCCAAGAGGGCCTTCACTTAATGCTATTCTCTCTGTCTCGCCTCCAGCACTCACTAGGCAAGGTAAGACTCTCGGGCGTCTCCCGGCTAGGGGCGCCGGAAACACGTGTGTGCTCACCTACGTGTACACACGTGAGCACACCTACAGCAGCAGGGGGCTCTGGGGCCGGCAGGGGGCAGCACAGACCCGGCTTGCAATTACCCGGCGCAGCCCCGAGGGAGGAGGGCGTGCTGCAGTCCCGGCGGCGGCAGCAGTGGCGGCGGCGGCGGCGGCGGCGGC